TTTTTTTTCTTTCCATGTTGGATGAATTTCTTTCACTCCTTGTTGGGCCACTCCACCGTCTGATTTTCTATTGTTGGTTGTCTGTACTTGTCCTGCTTTAGACATTCCTCTACTGATTTCCCCTTCTATGATTTGTTGCCTTCTCTGTTGATTCTTCCACACTCCTTGGGTTAGGGGTGCTTATGAATCGGATTTTTCAAAAATCTAAACTAAATCGAACTGATCTGTTTTATAAAAGTAGATCGATTAACCGATCCATTTTTTATAAAATGTATTGGTTTGATTTTTTAAAAATATGGATCAGATTTTTTTGAAATCAGATCAGTTTGGTACAGTGCAATTTTTTATTTTTTACTCATATATGGATCATTTAAAAAAAAATCGAACTGAATCGATCCACTTTGTAAAAAATATATCGGATAACTAAACCAATTTCGTAAAGTGGATCGATTTAGATTTTTCAATACGGATCGGATTGATTATAAATTGGTTCGGATCAATTTGAATTTTTTTGTCGCCCCTACCTTGGGTATAGTTTGAAATGTTTACATGCATTTTTACATTACCAAAATATATTATCTAATTATTCTTCAAGACATTTGTCATTTAGAACATTAAGGAACCTGACAAAGCCATAACATTGACCCATCTATCCCTTTTACTAGCCGTGAATACCTCCCATATTCTCCCTTATCTTTGTAAGACTTTCCATAGATAAATTTCTTTGTATTCCTTCGAGAACATTTTGAAAAAGAAAGTCAATATGCGTCTAATTGTGTTGTCTTTGACTCACCCACCATCATGTGCTTTTCGTTCATTCAACTGACTTGCCATTCTTCAAAATTGTAAGACAAAGCTAATAATGGTGGGTAGATTAGAAAAAACACAACTGTAAGATAAAGCTTATGTCACTCAAGACTTTAACATTTTTATATATTAATGAAAAATTTTAAAAATGTTACGAAAGTGATATTTTGCAAAATTTTAATAATGTTGCTATTTTTTTTAAACTTTATAAAATGATAACTAGTATTAGCATAAATTATACTACCATTTATACTTTATATGACTTTTTTTACAAGTCCTTTAAGGTTAAAAATATCTTAATTTTTTTTTTCTAAAAGAGAAGATGTCCTAAGTTAGTTATCATCAAATCTAAATCATATATCAAAGTTCATTTATCTTAAATTTCACTCTATAGTTATATATGTGACACCCTCTACCATACCATGATACTTAAAATAAATAAACTAAATCAAGAAGTTTATCATAATGAAAATCCATTGTGTGTTCAACATAGAGAGTATGACATGTTAATAAAACAAAACCAACTAATATACAAATAAAATCTATTACAAGAAAACTAATAATTATCTCAAAACATGACAAAAAAAGATAATCCCTAACCAAGTCTCGATGTCACATCCTATTAGAGCATAACCTTTCTATGAGGATTAAGTCTCATCACCAACATCCTTAACATCATGCTGAAGAACAACACAAAATAAGAAGAGTGAGAAACATCTCACTCTGGCTCACAGCATAAGATGTAGCTGAGCAACCAAACACAAATAAAACATATATCAATATAACATAAATATATCGATCATATAACATATTTCATTCATTCACAATATAACAACTGAATATCACATAGTATTAAGATGCATTATGTAATGGACAAGGACTATATGTTGTCATGTATGTGATGTCAGTAAAAATATATATCACATATCACACTTGTGCATTGCCGCTAGCAATATACACAAAGTAATCTAGGAGTATATGTTAGGCCATACCCTCTACATACTCTCACTAGAAAGACATACTACTAAGGCCTGATTAGGATAGCTACGTCACGCAACATACATCCCATGCTCACGAGGGCAAGACTGAGACTTTCAAATGGAGTTATCCTCATGATTGGTTCTCAAACTTTTACACAAAGGACCTTCCCTAACAATATATTTCATATTGTATTCTTTTAAAACATTTTATACATATGATGTATGTCAAACAAACTTTATACATTAACATTCACATGGTCTTATACCATAACACATCACACATCTTATCATATTATATCATGGATAAGCTTCGATTAATTAGAATTCTCATCATATGACCTTTGTAAGATCCATACACATCAAATGCATCAATATCAAAACACACTAATCAATATATACATAACTCATAATATGTCATATATATCAATGACATACTCACACTACAATCAATTATTAAGTAATACAATGATTACACAATACACCTCAAGTAAGAATTATTATGAGATCATTTAATCATATGTTAGAACCTCAACTAAAGTCACTAAGATTAATGTCACAAAGAATTTAAACCAATAGCTTAACTAGTCTAGCAACTTTATATATGAAGTCCTTAGATATCACTATCATTAAAACACCTCTCAAGTCATTAACAATCAACTTACATCATAGCCTATTAAAATTCTTTTCTACCATAATTCATCCTTCCAAAACATTGATATAAGTAACTCAAACCATTAATAAGATAAAAAAACTTACAAGATAAAACTATTCATCATCATCATTCACAAACTACATTTCCACAACTTAACCTTCTAAGACATCGTGTGATCCAAACGTCCTATCTAGAGTTATATATATGATATCAAGTTGATCTTATTTTATTAGAAAGATAAGGCAATTATCTTTGATTTCTATGTTGATCTTAAAAGCTAATTATGTCATCTACTATTTTTTAAAAATACAAAATCGTAACATTTCTGCCTAAACGTGATAGTTTGACCTTCGCTCAGTAATTTGATCATAACTAGTTCTAGACCTCCTTTTTAAGTGATTTCAAAAGAATTTGAAAGCTAACATGCAGGGCTACAACTTTTATGAAGATTACACAACTTAGTTCTATCATTTAAGTCTACTCGAAAAGCTTATAACGTATGCATATTATATTTCGCACACAAAATATGAGGTTCATCTTTTAACTCACATAACTCGGTCGTTCCTTAATATTTTTGTGTGATTCTTAATTCTAAACTATAGTTCTAAATGTCCAATTTCTAACCCAATAATCAAAACTCAATTTCCCTAATCACACATAGAGAAATCAGATAAATACTAAGGTATGTTCATACCAAAAATTTCAAAATTTGACACAACTCACATCCAAGCTCTCTTCTCTTGATCGAATCAACAAAAATCAAAATTAAAGTTTAATACTACTCTATTATATCATCAATTATTCAAATCCAACATCAATTTTGCATTCTAATTATATATTCCTATTAATTACTCACACAATATCCATTTAAGGTGTCCACAAGAACCCATAAGCAATCCAAACTTCACAATTATAGGTCCAATTCACAAAATTGGAGATATATACAACTACACAACCTCAAATAGAACAACAAAGACAAAAGAACATATAATGTAATCAAATGGAAAAACCCTCTTATATAATACAAGCAACAAAGAAGGGATTGAGAATCAATTTCGCTACCCAACATACATCCCATGCCTAAAACAAGACTTGTAACAACCCGGACACACCAGAATGAAAGCGATCCAAATTAAGATTGAACCAAGTAAGAGATTGTATAGTTGAGAATGATCGACTTAAAAGGAATTAATTTGTACTACTTATACCAACAAGATGCATCTACTTTTCGGTAGCTTATTCCATAAGATCCCCACAATTAATCGTGAGTTGAAAAATCTTGTATTGGTTTATGGGGTCAGTCGTTGATCCTAAAAACATACGAACGTCTCAAAAAGGGCTACTCATGGAGGGTTCTAATCGGTGAAAGATTCTAATCAATGAGGAGTGCGTGAAATGTCATCGTGTGAATTGTTGTTAAGTGGAACTGCGAGAGGTCAAATCTGAGGGGCGTTACAAGAATACTTACTCTTCTGTTACCTCGATGATCACCAGACTCTCAATGATCACCAAACTTTAGAAGCGGATCTCCAAGGTTGTCCCTGACTACCTTTGTTTCTCCCTTCTCTTCTTCAAATCATGAGACACACGTGTTAGTGATAATGTGAAGTGAAACAACCCTAACTCTACTATTGCATTTATAGAGACGCTAACTCTAACAATCGCATGACCCATCCACGAAAGCTCAATTAATCATTTGTCACAATTATAAAAAAATTAAATTAAGAATATATCTTTCAAATAATAGATAAATAAGCTATTATCTTAAAATATCTTTCAAAATATATTATTACCCTAATTAATGATTTCTCACTATTTTGAAAATAAGTAAAATAACTACTATTATTTTGAAATATCACTCAGAATATAATACTAGCCTAATTAATCAATTAAAAATATTACATATAAATATATAAGATAATATCTCTTCGAATAATATAATTTTGAAATCTTTATTTTTCTTATCTTAAAACGTTCATAAAACCTCCAAAATAATCAAAATTATAATATCTAATCAAAATATGTTAAATAAAATATAGTTATATCTCTAACAATAATAAATAATTTCACAAATCTTTCTTTAATTAGCAAAAATAATCAAAGTCATTTAAAAAAATCTTTAATATAATTACAAAACTTATTTATTTAATTAAAATATCCTTTTAATAATTTTATAAAACTTGGAATGTTACAATATATACTCTTTTTGTGTCATTTTTTAACTTGATGTGGAACTTTAATTTAGAAAATAATTAAAAATTAGATAAGTATATTCTATATGTTATTCTTTTATTCTATGTGGGACTTAAAAACAATTAATTTTAAAAAAATTTGTTTATAAATTTAAGTATTGTTGTGCTAAATACATTTATGTTTTTATAAACAACATTTTTACAAAATAAAATAAAATAACTAAGATGAGAAATTATAATACCTCCTGAACACGTGCACTAATGCGATAAAACTGATAAAAATAAAATAAAATAAAAAAACCTTCAAAAGCCTTGAGCCTCAACCATTAACAATGTTTTTTTTTGGTTTTTTTAAACCTTGAACATTCCTAATAAAAATAAATGTCAATCAACATTAGCAATATTTTATTTAATATTCTTAAACAAAATTTAAACTTTAAAACAATCTCATTCGCATCATTAATTATGGAAACCCTAGCATCACTAAGAAAGCATTTAGTTGATTCTTCTACAATTGTTTCTGATCTCTCCAACACTCCCAGTAAGAGTCTTCATGTTACCCATCTTGACCATGGAAGCCTTAAAATCCCTAGCAAAAGCAAAAGGGTTCTTGCTGTATAGCTTCACCAAATTGTCACTTTCACCACCATCTCCTTTGAAGAGCTCTTGATCGGAATGAAGTAGACCCTTTTTACTCAGCAATGCAGAATAGAATGAAGTGTCAAATCTTGAGGGAGTGGCACGATCCAATGCTGCCAGATTGCTATCTCCACCACTACTTCTAGGGCACGTGCCCTGCAAAGAAGATGCAAAGTTGGGGTCTATGTTGGTATCATTGTAGATCCTGTTCCTAAAGGTGGAGCATTGGGCAAATCCAATGGTGTGAGCACCAGAAAGAGCTACGAGGTCTTTGAGGTCCAAACCATGAGACTGAAAACTAGAAAGAAGCTGAGAGAAAGTGAAAAATGGAGGAGGAAGATTTGAGTTTGCAGCATCCTTGCTAGCAGTTGTTGCATCCCTTCTGCCTAGTAAAACTTTGTACCAGTAGAGTGACCCTCCCAACTGTTAACATAAATCCATACACCACCTTAGAGTAATGATACTCATGTATTTACTCTCTTCTTTTTATCCCAATTTTTTTTTTTATCATATCATTTATTATTTATCATCCCTTTTAATTTTACACCTTAAAAAAATGATGTACGACTATATTTTTGCTTTTTTTTCCAACCCCTTTTATACACCCTAACTCATAAATTTCACTAAAACCAAGTTAAATTTTCCTTAAAAAAAGGATATAGTGTATAAATAAATAAAATAATAAAATCCGATCCTTGTCTAGATTAATTGTAAACATATCAAATTAATTTATCTAATGAACACAAGGGAAAAGACCGTGTAAAGAAGCTCTTAATCAATATATGTAGTTAGGTGTAAAAAATAATGAAAGATAATAATTCTTCTTAAATAATTTTTTTAGACTCTTATTATTTATTTATTTATTTTGCTACTCTGAGGCCCATTTTATTTATGGCACAAAAAGGAATGTTAGAAACTTATTTGGCTCTTTCTCTTTTTTTCTTAACAGGGTAGGAGTAAACATTTATGGGTCTGAAAATTTTATTTTATTTTTTGTTTTAGATTTTAGAGTAGATATAATTAAATAGCAATGAGAGAATAAAACTAGGATTAGTAAGAGACTCACTATGGAGACAGAATCACGAGCAGCTATAGCTAAGATATCAGCACATGATACTACAGGACGTTTGCAAGCTTTGTCAACTGCTGCTTTAATTTCATCAATTACTTCCAAACCTCTTAGTGACCCAATATTTGGTAGGGCACTCTTCTCCCCGGTCAAGTTCGGGGTGTCATCTAGCAGAACTGATCCATCACAGCCCTATACACATTGTTTCGAGGGCACAACATAATATTAAATTATTAGTAATATATAATATATTAGAGATGACATGCTTCCATGCATTAATAATTCTGTTAGAAACTTTCTGCTATATATGGCTTCTGACTTGGACTACCTTTCCTCATTTGTCCTTTTTCTGCGTTCTCATAGTTTAAACTAGAAATTCTTATTTACATTATTCAACTTGACCTAGTCAACTTGGATACTTGAAAATGATATATATGATCGATATTCCATGGCAAGGAATTTGGATTCTCTTCATTTTTTTTCTCTTCATTTATTCTTTATTTCATATAGTTTATTATATAATAGATATTAAATATTAATCATCAAAATGTAATATCTTTTATACACTCAAAACTTTGTTAGGAACAAGGAAATAAACACTAAAACATGGAGAGGATTCAAATTCATTGTCAAGAGGGGACTAAAACAAAAATCAGAGAAAATTACCATGAATGATAAACCTCTTACACGTTATTTCGAAACAGTTAAGATAAGCACACGAAAACAAGGGTGTTTAAGAATTAAGATTAACCATTTGCAGATATATGTGGGTGTATAGTTACACTACTGTATAATATTTGTTTACATTACTTGATTTATAATTTTTTGTAAATAAAATTTCTCATACAAAAATGTGATATAAAATACCTGTCTCAGTTGGTTGAACATTTATACGAGCTATGCTATTTAACACCGAATTTGATAAAAAAAAAATATATGCAATTAATGACACTAGACCACTTATCATGCATGAATTTGTAATTAACTCACATTGACAAAACAGTCATGGAAATGCAAGCGAAGTAAAGATGCTCCCATGCGTCGTTCACGGAATATTGCTCGTTGAACAACTGACTCAATGATAGGCAGTGCCTGAGGGCAAACTTTGTCGTAAAATTCAGGAGTGAGTTGTGCATGAGAAGGGATCGTGACAAGTGTGGCCATGGCAAACACAATGAAATATTGAAGACAAGAAGCCATTTCGTTTTTGATCGATCTTAACAAGTGTTATTGACTTTTGAGTTTATCTTGGTTGTGTAGGATTTAATGATTTATATAGAGAGGAAGTAGCAACTAGTTTACTTGCTTCAGTTATTTACATAATATTTTAGTTATCGTCGCGTTCCAACCGGATTTTGGTTAATACCATTGACGTAAAACCGTGTAAGAGAAATGTTCAAATATTATTACCTACACACATCTCCATGCATTGCATGCAATTACCACTGCTTAATGCATGCCAGCTTGAGAAGGGAAAAAGTCGCATGTTATGCCAAAAGTAAGAATGTTAACAAAACAAAAACAAAAACAAAAACAAAGTGAAGAAATTTGAAAGAATCTTGCCCTAAAAAATTGAGTGATCTTTTCGGTGTATAAAAAAATACTGTATATAAGGGTATGTACACGGAAAGTTTTGAAACGCGGATTCACGAAACAAAAAGAAAAATGAAAGCCATAAATAGTTGAGGAAAAAGATACAGAAGTAAAGAAAAAAAAATGGAAGTGTTTGATAAAAGTATTGTGAATTATGTCGGAGAGTTTTACACCAAGAAACATTTCACACAATAGATAGTAAATAAATTACATAAGTAAGTTTGACATTATAATATGAGTTAATTATTCATACACTGTCAGTGTAAAGTTTTTTACACTGGTAACCAATGAAATCTTTTAAATTATTTTATTTTATTTTTATTTAATTAAATAAATAACTGATATGTCACTATTAAAAGATATGATTGGTTGTCAGTGTAAAAATTTTTTACACTGATAGTGTATAAATGATTAACTCTTATAATACAACTTCAAACATTTAAAGAGACTTTTAATACAAAAGACGATCTCACCCTTGAATTTCCTTCCACGGTATTGAAATTTTATATTGGAGAGCTAACACTTCACACAATAAATAATGAGAAAATTATATAAGTAAATTTCATACCACAACATAACTTGAAATTTTAAAACATTATGTAAGTAAATCTTTTTCACTTATATATTACTCAATATGTCTAACTCTAATCATAGATTTACTTCATACTTAAACTCCAACAAATTATATGAATCATTTCAACGTATTATTTAATTTCAACTTTCACTCATCAATTTTTATCTCTAAATTGATAACATTTCAAATAATTTTGGTCAATGATTCCAATATATTATATCATTTTCTCATAAAAAAATTTGTGTAAACCATATCAATTATTAACATATAAAAAAAAATATTAACGTATAAAATTATGAGCAGGCTGCCAAAAGTCAATACCAACTTTTCGGTGTAAATTGATTATAAACATGCACTTGAGGCACTTGAGAATAGCTAACTGGTATTTTTTCTCATTATAATTATTATTTATATATGAATATAATAAGCTCGCATTGAAAATTTTCAATCAAGTAGAGTCGACAACATTGGAACGAAAAACTCGGCCAAATACTATACAATGTTAAAATATAGTTCAAGAGTATATCGTATATTATAATTTCTTTCTGTGCAGTGCACGACCACTACTAATATAAAGGTAGAATTATTAGGTGGTTTTGAGTTATACGATCTTTAACTAGTCTTTATATTAAGTATTATTAATTTTTTATAAATTAAAAAACTTAAATACATACTATATAATGATCACTTAAAAAAATTAACATATGATAATCCAAGAATATATTTTTTAAAATCAATCTGCCTTTCTTTGTAAAAGACAAATCTTAGATAGGATAGATTAATGAAATAATTGAAACAGCTAAAAGGTAAAAATAAGAAGTCTTTTATTTTGAAAAAACCTATGATTCAATCAACTGGACTTTCTTATACTACATGATGGGCAAACTTGGATTTTGTGAAAAATGGAGGGGTTGGATTAGAGGTTGTATTTGCACTAGTCAAGTATGTTCTTCTTAACAGTTCCCTACGAACAAAATTCAATTATTAAAAGACCTTAGGCAAGGAGATTCGCTTGTCCCTTTTATCTTTTTAATAGTGGTCGAGGGACTCATTAGTCTAATGCGTATGGCTTATGAGTTTGGAAAATTCTTTGGATTTAAATTTAGTAAAGAAGGTCAATTTTCAATACTATAGTTTGCAGATGATAAATTCTTGGTTTGGGAGGCTAACTAGAATAATTTGTGGGTGTTAAAAACTATACTAAGGTGTTTTGAGCTTATTTCAAGATTAAAAGTAAGTTAATTGGCTTAAATGTGGAAGAACAATTCTTGAGGTTAGCTATCACTTTTCTACATTGTAACATTGTGGATGTTCCTTTTAGGTTTCTTGGGATTCCAATTGGGGCTAACCCAAGATTGCTCGGCGACCACTTATGACTACAATGAGAAATAATTAAATTGACATCTTGAAAGGGGAGATATTTATCTTTGGGAGGTCCGATTGTCTTGATTAATTTTGTGTTGTCATGCTTACCTTTGTACCCTTTATCATTTTTCAAGTTGCCCAAGAAATTTCTTAAAACTATCATTGGCATTCAAAGATCCTTATTATGGAGTAGTAAAGAAGATTCTCTTAAAATAGGTTGGGTTAGTTGGCAAAAAATGTGCCAACCAAAGAAATCAGGAGGTTTGGGTATTAAAAACATTGAGATTTTTAATATTTGTTTACTTGCAAAATGGAGGTGGCACTTTTTGACTGATACAAAGACTATTTGGCATGAATTATTGTCTTCTAGATATGGTCCCCTGTTTCAGGTTCTATCAGTAGCAAATTCCAATCCAACACCATGCTCTATTTGGTGGAGGTATATTTGTTTAGTTGATAACAATAAGTGTGTGGCTCCTTGTTGGTTTTTTTCAACTCTTGGTAAAATGGTGAGAGATGAAAAACAGGTGAGCTTTTGACATGATGTTTGGATAGGTACAACCTATTTGAAAGATATTCTAGGTTATATCAAATATCCATTGATAAAGATACTTTTATTGTTGATATGGAGGAATTGATAAATGATTTGTGGTGCTGGAATTGGAAGTGGATCAGGGAACCTTTTATGTGGGAGCAAGAAATCAAATTTATTGTTTTCTGTTTCACTTGTAAGATACAAGACTGATGAATGGATTTGGAAGCTTGATAAATCTCACACTTTTTCTGTAAAATCTGCATATACCTTTTTGGTTTATATATGAACAAATGTCTGTAAGGAGCCACAATATTTCAACTAGAATATTCAACAAGTTTTGGTCTACTTCGATTCCTTCAAGGGTTTTGGCATTTTTCATGGAGATTGTTACTTGACAGATTACCTTCATGCTCTGCTTTAGTTCGAAGAGGTGTCATTCAAGATGTATCAGAAGCTAAATGCATATTTTGCAATCTTCATGAGGAAATAGTTAATCACTTGTTCTTTTTTTGTTCGATATTGCTACAAGTTTGGGGATCTGTATATGGTTGGACTGGATTTTCTATTTTCATCTTTGATTTTGGTGAATCATATTAGCTACAACATAGGGGATTAATAAAAAGAAAAATAAGGAAAAAAAAATATGGATGAGTATTTGGCATGCCACAGTGTGGTCAATGTGGTTGATAAGAAGTAGTGTATTGTATTTTAAAATGAGTCTTTTGATTTGCTTAATTTGATGGATCTTATTAAACTCAACGTATGATCTTGGTTTTCAGTAAATGTACGAGGGCTCACATCATTATTGGTGTATTAATCCAATGAGATTTTTTTTTCTTGATGTAACTTGTTGATCCTTTATTATTCATTAGACTATGTATACAAGTTAGAATACCCATAGTACTCTAATTAATTTGATTTTGCTTATAGAAAAAATATAAAGGGGCCAACTGTCCACCAGTGATGGAGGTATAGATGATTTGCACAAAGTCTTATTTTAAATTTTATTGTCTCATTGTAAAAAAAAAAAAAAAACACTAATATAAAGAGACATTATATATGTAATTAGATTTCACAAACTCATATAATTAGTATTTTTTTAACTTCTTTTTTACCTCATATATCAAACTGACCCCTCGGATTTATTGAAAATGAAAACTAAAATATTTCAATCATAATGATTAATTTTTTAACGAATCAACGATGCGTGCATATTTATATAATGATATATATATAAAATAAAAAGCTATTACATTGACATTGAATTAATGATAATATGAATCTCTAAGAAAATAAAAATACCATTTGTGTAGGCGGACAGCCGGACATAGTGACTAAATATATAATAGGACAAATCGTCCTTCTAAAAAAGTTTGTTTTAATTTAAACAATTTGTTCTATTTAGATCCTTTTAATTTGAAAATGTAACACTTTCGACCCTTAAAATTATTTAAATAATATTTTACTACTCTGGTGTATTTTCAAAATAAGATAGATTAAAATAGTTAAAAAAACTATTCAAGAGATTAAAATCGAATTTAAAAAATTTGAAAGAGATTAAAAACATTCTTTTAATGTAAAAAAAAAAAACCATTCTCCCTATAAAATATTTGTTTTATGCAATTCAGTCTTAAAGGAAAATTAATTTTCTTTTATCGCAATACTTGTTAAATTAACACAGAATTATTACGAGTGAAAAAGTTCCAACACCAAATAATTAATTGAGATTACATACTTAAAACTTCAATTTAAGGCTACATATTAAACTGGAAAATTTCTGTAACATTTAATTCCCATTTCGATCGGTACATTGTTAATTAAGAATTGAGATGTAACCAAAAATATTGAGTAGGTATTATTAATAATTGATAGCGGTGCGGCATGCATCTCTGTCAATTAGATAGTATATACTATGATAGTATATTCCAAGTGACTTTTTCAGTTTTCAAATAAAAAATATATAAATTACTATGGGAGCAGAACAGTTCCAAATAATTAATGGAGATTGTTATTAATTTTCTTGTGGATTCTTTCACCTTGACCAGATGTAATAATGTTTTAAAATTGTTTCATAAACGTTATTGGCTTAGTATATATCAACCAGATTATTTCCCCTTATTTTATTGCAGGCCAAATTTCCCTACGTATAAAGGATTTTTAAACTTTTAATGTATGCCCTAAAATTAAGGCCATGAATGGTGCCATATGTAACGCAGAGAGGAAGAGCTAATCAAGGGAGCTATTTATTTATTTGACTGAAAAGGGAGCGTTCATGTTAAATGCATTATGGAGACATTATAAGTCTATTATAAGGATATAAACAAGTTTCTAAACATATTGTAACTAATTCTTACTAAAGTAGTTTACAATTGATTATTAATTTTATGGATTAATTCCTTTAAAGTGGGAAACTCGCTTAAAACAATGAAGTAAATTGTAAATAAATGTCAGTTCAGTTGTTAATACATATACAACAAATTATAAATGGGATAGAATAAGTCAGTGGATGATCTGATTTCCATTTTTGCAGAACACGTCATTGGAAAAGATCAAAGCTTACTGGACTATAAGTTTTACCGAAGAATCAAGATTTAGTTTCTTTTCCTAAAAGTAAACTTAGAATTTATTTAAATACAAGTTTAAAAAAGTTTTTGATGATTTTTTTATTAAAAATAAAAAGTTTTTAATAGAATTTTTTTTTCTTTCAAAATTTAACCTAAATCCAAACAGACTCTTAATTCTGGTGATAATTAAAAAAAAAATATGATAGAGTACATTATTATTAATTTTCTTATTAACCACTAAAATTACTTAATTACTTTATTCATGTTTACTTTTAATAAAATCAAATCTTGATTTTCTTGGTATTTAAAATTAATAACAAAAATTTAATTAAAAATTCTTGCGATGATTCCCTTAGTGCATGCATTCAAAAAGTACAAATTTTTGCATCATCTGACCTTTATTCTTTAGCTGATTTCTTTGAGACTTGAATTTAATTGGTTCAGCATCAGCTGAACCTAACACATTAATCTTAATAAAATATAAAATACAAAATAACACAATCTCCGACCGTTAAAAATTACATGCATGCAGGGCTTGACATACAATAAATTAATAATTAACACTCGTTCTTAATTAATAATCTTTATTAATGTTGCCCATATCCTTGTAACTCCAACAACAACACTAATTAACTCTTCTGCAATTGCGTCTGATCTCTCCCATGTTCCCAGTGAGAGGCTTAATGTTCCCCATCTTGATCATAGAACCCTTAAAGTCTTTCGCAAACGCAAAAGGGTTTCTGCTATATAGCTCCACCAACCTGTCACTTTCACTTCCATTCCCCTTGTACAGTTCTTGATCCGAATGAAGGACACCCTTTTTGCACATCAACTCCTTGAAGTAAGAGGTGTCGACCCTCGCAGGAGTTTGGTCCAACGGAGCCAGGTTGTTGTCGTCGCCAACTCTAGGGCACGTTTTGCGCAAAGAGGCTGCAAAGGTAGGGTTTATGTTGGTGTCATTGTAGATGCGGTTTCTGAAGGTGGTGCACCTGGCGAACCCTAGAGTGTGGCCACCAGAGAGTGCCACGAGGTCCTTGAGGCCAAGTCCGTGAGAGACGAAGTTGGAGAGAAGCTGTGAGAAGCTGAAGAATGGAGGAGGGAGGTTGGTGTTTGCAGCGTCCCTGCTTGCAGTTCTAGAGTCTCTTCTGCCTAGTGATACTGGGTACCATAGGAGTCGACCACCTAACTGTTGTTAATAGAAGACAATATCATACTTTTTAGGGTTTTCATTAACTAATAATGAATAAACTAAGGAAAAATTATAATTATCTTTTTTGCTTGTTTGATTTCAAGTAGTGAGATACTAGTTAATGGTAATTTTAGATAAATTTTCATGAACAAAACTTTAGTATAATTTTTTAGGTTCAATTAGAATTGTTTTTCAATCAGGATTCAAGTTTTACTTCAATAATGAGATATTATTGAATATAAATATATATTATTGGGATAAAATTTTAATTTTAATCAGAAAAAACAACATCGATTACACTTTAAAAAAAAAAACTGTACCTACTGCTTAAGTTTCATCCAATTCTCACATTCTTATTTCACATATGGAGAAATTTATTTGTGTATAATTGATTTTGAGTTGAATTAACTTTAACTAACTTTTGGGTTCCATAAATATTTTATAGAGTTTTTTTCTTAACTTCCTTTAACATCTAAATATAAATTACATCATTTCAAAACCAATGTTTACCAAAGTCAATCTCATCTCATTCGAAATTAATTTGTGAATGTAATTCATCCAAACAGTATAACACACATTCTTCCATCACTTTTTTGTTTGTTCTTTCTTTCTCACCACATTATTTTTCATTTGCGTCACTTTCTCTGTCTTTTTTCTTAATTATATCTCTTCTTTCTACCTGGCATAAATCATTTTATACTATATATGTTTGGTTAAATAGATCTAGACGGACGTAAGACTGGCAGTGAATAGATCGAAAACGTGAAATTTTATAATCCTTTTTTCATTTGGTAAAATGTAGGATGGAAGGTTTAAATAAATAAATAAATAAATAAATAAATATATATATATATATATATATACACACTTTTATGGCGTTCATATATATCATATCGTTAAAGTAAACTCTGGTTTTATTTTATTAATTAATTTATTTTTTGTGCAAAGAGTCTATATATACCAGTATTTTTTTTAATTTAAAACTTAATAATAAGAATATAAATAACTTAAGATTTTATTCCAACAAATTAATTAAGCACATAATTGCTAGGTTGAAGGAAAGGTTTGGTTAATTAATTAGAATTAGAATACTTACTATGGCAACAGAATCACGAGCAGCTGTAGCTAAGATATCAGCACATGATACGACAGGTCGTTTGCAAGCTTTGTCAACTGCTGCCTTAATCTCATCAACCACTTCGAAGCCTCTTATTGAATTCAGATTTGGTAGGGCTGTCTTCTCTCCAGTGAAGTTCCTTGTGTCATCCAGCAAAACTGATCCATCACAACCCTGTATGTGCTCCCATAAATTTTTACTATATTATTTTACATCACATAATTATGTTTTTTTTTTTTTTTACATCCTAATTCCATTCAAACAAATAAGGTGTAAAAGAGGAAGAAAGTGATTTTAGCTTTTAGAACATCTTCAACAGTACAACCATAATGAAATGATAACTCTTGAATATAGTGTCATAGATATTATTAATGTTGTTCTCATATTAGAATTAGAATTTATCCTCAATAATTAATATACATAATCAAACATTGCATTAAAGAATTGTGAAACAATTAATTATACTGTGTGACCTATTTTATGTTTTTAAAGGTTGTTACCATTCGAGAGAACTTATTGAATTTTTAAATTTTATGTGGCATGCATTGCAAGACTCACCAAAACTAGGTTAAGCAATTTCATTATCAACAAAACTTAAGTACAATATTGTTGGTAATATTGATATTGTTCACTAATCAAAATAGCTTTACATAAGTAATATATATTTAATAATCATTTCTTATATAAATATCATTATTTTAGTGTATTAATGAAATCGAGTCATTTCACACATATTAAAAATAAAGTAAAAATTAAGATTAAGAAATAAAAATATATTGGTTTAACTAGTATTATGATTTATTTTTGAATTTCAAGATTTTGAATTTGATAAAAATATTAATTTTTAAATTTTGTTAATAATAAAATTATATAATAATTTACCAAATGTAAAAATTAAAATGACTATTAAAAAGGATATCTCTTTTATATATTAATATAGATACTGTCATGTCAATTATTCCAATAACAATTTATTAAAATATTTATTATTTATCCCATAAACATATCTAATTAGCAAAAGCTACAGAAAAAAGTGGTTTTAGCTACAAGAACCAAAAAGAAACTTTTATTTATGTAAATCATACATACATAAATTGATATAAGAAACTTTAATTGGCCAATGGCCATGTATGTAGTAAATATTAATAAGATTTCAACATTGATTTTAGCAAATTAATATAGGAAAAACTAGACCACAATATTACTTAATTAGTTATGTAGAATTAATTAAAACAAGAAAGCATAATCATATAAATGATTGAACGTGTATGTGTATATATATAAAGAACATATAGCTTGTATACCATTAATTTCACACACTTACATTAACAAAGCAGTCATGGAAATGCAAACGCAGCAAGGATGCTCCAATGCGACGTTCACGAATAATGGCTCGATGAACCACTGATCTTATGATTGGCAATGCCTGGGGACAAATTTTGTTATAGAATTTAGGACTTAGCTTTGCATTTGAAGGGATCATAAATGCTAAAACAAGCACAAACAGATATTGGATCTTAGAAGCCATCGTGTTGTGTGCTCTTACCCTGCTTTCAGCTAATTAAGTTACAATTTCTTTGGCTATGGATATGATTTATATAGAAAGGATATCAAGTAGCCATAACAAGGCACATCGAACAAAATTAATTAATTAATTACAGAGTTTACTTGCTTAAGCTATTCACATGATTTTTTAGTTCATATAATCATATTATATACATAATACAACTGGATTGTGGTCCATAGCATTGCCCCACGTCGCCTACAAACTCAAGTCAAGAGGTTTTATATATATCTTTGCAAAGTGAATTAGTAATATTTGCTTTAAGCCTTAAATAAGATGTACTAATCACTTACACAACTTATGGCACAATTTTAGTATTTACTAACTTTTTGTTATTTTCCTTTTTATTCAATCATATAATATTCTTATATATTGTCACAACAAATTTTCAATAGTACCCTAAGCATAAAATAATAAAAAGATTTGATATATATTTCCTAATCACAATTTACAACCTATAGGCTTTCAAGCTAATTGCAAAATAGTGTAGGAGGCATGCATCCGATCCTGAAGGCTGAAGCTTTCAATAGCTAAAGAATCAATTTAGAATTTTTTTTTATAACAGTGAGCTGGCAACTATGAACCAAAAGCAGTTGTTTTTCTTTCTTGTTAATAATTAATAATTAAATAATTTTATTTGCATTATATAGTAAGATACAAGCATGTTGTGGTCATGCCTTGAAAAAAAAAAAAAAAGGCAAGTTGTGGCCTTGTGGCATGATTGTCTAACACCTATTAGTTAAATTTAAAAATTAAAATTGATATCATGTGTGCCTATAAATATGTAAGACAAGAGCTAAACATGCCATTTCCGATAAATAAAGTCCAAAACATTCGACTGTCAACTTGCAGAATACTAAAAAAAATCAATTAAATAACATATGCAGATCTTAATTAGTTATTTCTGTTCAATGTTTATTTTCGTTTTCCTTTCTTAATCAGTTGATAATTTGGTACATCTTTTGCGTGTAAATTTTGGACTCTTTGTTGCCCTGAGTTTGCCGCGGAATGTTGGAGTATATTTGTATATGTACAGCTAGCTGCACATACACTCAATCATTTTTCATATATTATTTTTATTTGACTTTCTAATATCATAAAATATTCGATTTATTTTCCAAACAAATAAGATAGCTGTAACATAATTAACAATTACTAATTTCGACACTAAATAACTTTTTTTTTTTACAAACAAAAAAAATCTATTAATTTTATAAGCGCATAAAATATGATTGTCTTGGAGAATATATATTATCATACACTACAAGAAATATTACATGTAATGACATACAAAAAGTGTCATTATAGGTATAATATATGTAGATATATGTCTATTTGACATATAGTTATACACAATTTTAGTATTGATTTTGATTGAGATTTAACAACATATTTTATATGTCATTATAGTCTATACCTACACTTTTTAATAATATATCAACATATATTATAGTTATTGTGTGTGTAAAAATAATTTTTAGTGATATATATAGTGTCACTATAGGATATGTGTCACTATATGACAATTTTGTTGTAGTGATAGGAGAGACTGATATTGTAAACGACTATATGTTGATATAACATAATATACATCTTAGAATTGTCTAATTTCATTATTCCTAATCTTAACAAAAGGAGCTGAGTTTACAAATATAAAGAAAAACATATCAATTATAGTCATTGTACACCCAAAATTCCATGATAAAGTCAATCAATAATAAACATATACATATCAATAATACACTTTTCAATATATATATATATATATATACTTATAAT